TTAAGAAATAATATCATTGGTGCAACTGTCGCTACAGGAAATTATATTGTTCATAAAGTTTACATTCCACGAATGAATATGATTCCATCAAATACTGACATTCATTTGAGATTCGAAAGAAGGCAATTTCTAATTAGTCTATGCTTTTCCATGACCATTAATAAGAGTAAGGTCAATCTCTTTCTTATGTTGGACTATTTTTACTGAAACATGTTTTTACTCGTGGACAACTATATGTCGCCGTTACTAGAGTAAAATCTAGGAATGATTTGAAGATTTTAATTTTAGATGAAAATGAAAATTCATGTAAAAAACTAACAATGTTATTTACCAAGAAGTGTATCAAAAGATTTGAACTTTAATACATGAGTCTTTATTCTTCTATTTAAATTTAGTAACATTTTTTACATCATATTTCCTTCAAAATTTATTTTTATGTATTTTACAATCTTTTGCTTATAATATTCATATCAACATGTAATAAAAATCATTCCATCATAATCCTTGTGTATCGCATGAATTAAAATACTAGTATCATATATTTATATGCTTAGAAAAAATATTTGTCCTTTTTAAAAGATGACCATTTTAGTTAAAATTAGTATTTTTTATTTAAAAATTAAATAAAAAATCATCCACTTTTTCTCCTCGTAATTTATATTGTATATCTCTTTAGCTCATTTAAAAGGACACAATTCTATGTCCATTAAAACACCAAACCTTATAACTATTCCTACTTTTTTTTTTTTTTCTTTTGCATATTTATGCTCACGTTACCATCCACACCTAACAAAAGAAAAAGTTGACTTTTTGTGTATTGATTTGAGAAGGAAAATTATAGTTCTTTAAGTATGTAATTATAAGTTTAACTCTAAAATTTGTCTATAGAAAAAAGATGAAATTAATAGTTCTCATATTGTACGAGATAATTTTTGTCTCTTATATATATATAAAAGTGTGTTGCCCATATTTTTTTTCCCTCTCTATTATTTTCATTTGGGTCTCACACACTTTTATGTATATGTAAGAGATAAAATCATCTCTTACAACATGAGAAACACTAATCCTAAAATAGATATTAGCATTTGACATCTAATTGTATCGTAAAAAATTACAAAAAATACTCTCAAAAATCAAAAAATTATATTTTATCAAAAAATAATTATATTTTTTGTAATTAAATATGTTTTGAAATATAAAGAGTAAACTATTTTTTTTTAAAATGAGATAATCGTTGTGCTTATATTAATATTATATGGTTACTGTGCCTTCACCAGCCACAATGGTCCATTTTGCTGCAACTATTTTTATTTGGTTGGCCAACGAAGTATCTTCAAAATTAACAAGCATCTTTCTTTGGTTGGGTAGGATGAGCGAAATCAATTTATTGACAATATAAAAGGAGCAATGAGCCAAAAAAAAGAAGAAAAAACAAAGGCGTTGCCAACACACTGCCGGTGGAGAATAATGACACTGAGGCTGCTAGTGATATGCACAAATTCACTCATCATGAAAGTCACAACTCACAATTGAGGAGCAAATTTATAATAAATATAACTAAAACAACCATGCATGTTGCCTTATGACTTGGATTGGACCTCATCACCATAATTTTCCCAGCAAAACGACAACTATATATATATATATATTGAAGCTGCTTTAGACAGCATTAACATTTTCCTTTCATTTTTTCTGGTTATACATCGATGGTACGAAAACTTTTATAATACATAACATATATTAAATAATGGGTTCGCTTTTTCTACAGTTATATAACTTATCTACATTGAACCTAAAACGACGTCGTTTTGAGACAGAAATCAAGGTATTTTTGTAATTATAATTTATTTCAGGGTTATAATAGTCTTTTTCATTATAATTTTTTAATTTTTAAACCCAAAACGACGTCGTTTTGGAAACAAATGTAGATAACTTATCTACATTCATTATAAAAACATTAAATAATAGCCTTTTTTTTGTATCCAATAGCCTTTTCTTTTTATTAAGTGATCCCAAGGTGTCCCTATATCTTTTGGAAATGAAATTAATCTTTGTTCGAATACCAACTTAGATTTGATATTAAAGAAATGAGAAATGTTGTATCATTTTAAAGGATGTAAAGTTGTGTCATTTTAAGAGAGAGAAAAAGATAGATAAAGGAGGAGAGAGAGTTGACAAAAAAAATAAAGATGTGAGTCCCACTTTTTTGTGAGAGTGAAAGGATATAAGTTGTGTCATTTAAAAGGATAAACACTTTTTCCTAAAGAAATATAATAAAAAGTTATTAATACGATCTCATTCAATAATTTCAACTTTTGAATTGAATTGTTTATTTACATGGTGTTAAATTATTAAAAGTCTGATCGACCTCTCTTTCTATTAATAAATAATTAAATATTATGAAATTTTTTAGAACGAATAGACATACTTGTGAACTTGTCCACCTTTTAAGTTTAATGGACGCTTGTGTGAGAGAATGTACTAGAAAAATATAATATAAAATTTTTGATCTAATTTTATCTAGCACTTTAAGTTTTTAGTTTGAATTTATTTTTTACAATTAAGTTATATAATTTGATATCTCTAACTACAAGAGGCAAATAATAATAATAATAAAGTAAATAAGTTGAAACTATTAAAATATAATTAAGATATTGTGCAATGGAGGCAATCCTCATTCTTAATATAAACAAAATCAATTGCTAGATTAGAGTTGGAAATTTTTGATATCTTCACTTGTTCTCTTAATAATTTTTCAACATAGATATTCTTTGTATTAAAAAATAATAATTATATATTAGTTTATACTGTACGTATTCTGATGTGAACTTTAATGTTTACCTGATGTGCTAATAATTGTATTTACGTAGTTAATGAAAAAGATAGTTAGCAATTGAACTACACTACCTCAAGCCAAAGTCGTATGAAAACAGTAAGGGTTTATTTGAGAGTTGGTTTTAGGAGGGGAAGGAAAGGAAGGGGAGGGTTTTAGTAAGCTCTTTTCTTATTTGTGAGTTTAAAAAAAGAAGGGGAAGAGTTTGGGGATTTTTATTAAAACCTCCAAAATCCTCATTCTTCTTAAAATTAAAGTTTCCCCAATTTGAAGGGTTTGAGAGGAAAAATATTTAAAATTACCTATCTACCCTTAGGATTAAAATGTTAAAACTACATAATTGTGAATCATTTTTAAATGCGATATTATTAGAAAAATCTCAAATACCGACAGAATTTATTGATGAAAAATATTTCGTCAAAAATAGTGATGAAATTTTTGATGAAAATCATATATGTCAAAATATTTCCGTAAAAACTAAAGACAAGATTAGAGACGGAACCAAATTTTGCCATAATCACTAACATAAATTTTGTACAGAAAAAAAAATCCAGACAAAATTATTGATAGAATCTAAATTCCGTCGAAACTTTTAACGAAAATATTTCCGTCCAAAATTTTGATGAAACACATTTCCATCGAAAAGTTTTGACGTAAAACAATTACGTCAAAATGTTTTACAAAAAATATTTCCATCAAAATTGTGACGAAAAATATTTTCATCAAAATTTGTGACTAAAAATATTTCGGTAAAAAATTTTGACGGAATTTTTTTTTTGTCAAAATTCTTTACGAAATCTAAATTTTGCCAAAATATTTCACCAAAAAACATATTCATCGAAATTTTTGACGAAAAATATTTCCACCAAAATTTTCAACGAAACACATTTCTATCAAAAATTGTTGACGAAAATTTTTTTCATTAAAATTCGTAACAGAATTTAAATTCTGCCGAAAGTTTTCAAAGAAAATATTTTCGTTAAACTTTATGGCAAAAAAAAATTTCTGTCGAAATTTTTAACGAAACACATTTTCATCGAAAATTTTCGATGAAAACAATTTTCGTCAAGTTTTTTGATAAAAACATTTCCATCAAAATTTTCAACGGAACTCATTTCTCTCAAAAAATTTCGACAGAAAATATTTCCATAAAAATTTTTGACGGAAAATATTTCGACAAAAATTTTTTATGGAAAAAATATTCTGTCAAAATTCTTTACAGAATCTAAATTTCGTCGAAAGTTTTGAATGAAATATTTTCCTCAAAATTTCTAACAAAATAATTTCTGTCGATATTTTTGTCAGAACACATTTCCATCGAAATTTTGAATGAAAAACATTCCGTCAAATTTTTTGACAGAATTCTTTTTTCGTTTAAAACATTAGACGGAAACTAAATTTCTTCAAAAATTTCGATAGAAAATTTATTTTTGTAAAAGTTTTCATCGGTTGAAAAATTTCGTCGCTTTTCGACGAAAAGTATTCCGACGAAAAAAATATTTTTGTGATGAATTTTTCATCGTTTGCAACGTAAAAATTTTATCGAAAATATGATCTTTTTTGGTGTTGTGAAAAGTACATACATAATTTTGTTAGAAATTTTAAATTTAATTTAATTTGTAAAATATAATAATTATATTAATTAAAAAAAAGGATAAAATTGTAAAAATATCTCATTAACCCTCACTTTTCCTCCTTTACCATTTTTTTAACTCCCAAACAAGGGAAGAGAATAACCTTTAATTTTCTTCCCTCCCTCCCACTTGGATCCCCTTCCTTCTTTTGCCCTCCAAACTTCCAAACAAAGCCCTAAATGAAGTGTGTGTATTTTTGGGGATAGTGGGTATAAGTATGCTCTAATATGCAATTCCCTTTATGTCACGTTGGCACGTTAAATCGTTCAAATAAATAAATAAAATTATTCCTAAATTAACATAAATCAAAGTATCAAAATAACACAATAGAAGACGATTAATCTCTTGATCGATTACCAAAAACAAGGACAACCTAACAAGTTAACCTGTTCTTAATCAGTATAACATATTTTATGTTGGGACAAGATATAAATTGAAAGGTTATATATTGAGACCCAGCCCATTAAAAATGATGGGTAAAACAGGCTAACCCGAAGGATAAAGCCCGTTTTCCCAACCCTAAATTCGATACACTAGTTTGAACTTTGAAGGACTTTCTTGACGTAACTTTTGAGGCTACTGTTAATTGTTGAGAAGGATGGTCGAGTAGATGGATTTCCATCCCAGCAAAGGCATATCAAGTCAATCAGCTCTTCCAGTTGGAAACCATCATCCTGTGATGGAAGCATAGGACGCAGCTTACCCTCCACTACTTCCATAGCAATCTAACATATAACACATATATATATATATATATATCACATAAAGTAAGATTTTAATTTTCTAATTTATTAAGACCAAAATTGATGAACCAATTAATTCTATAAAATAAGCCATTCATGATCAATGTGATGATGATACCTTGAGGGGACCATATTCTGTTTCAATGTAGGGGTAGTTTCCAGTTAGAAGCTCGTTAAATATGACACCGAAACTATATACATCACATTTTTCATTATAGGGCTCACATCGGATCACCTCTGGTGCCATATACACGTATGTTCCTGAAAAAAGTGAAAAATAATTAACACGACAAGGATCTTAACTTCACAACCATGTAATTATCGATGTGTACGTATATTAATGTGAGTCACAAGTAAAACTACAATCCAATGTGTATTTGTTGAACTTGCCTGTTTCTCCAGTGAGAGCCATTTCCTCGTCGTCCAAGAAACGGGCATGTCCAAAATCAGCTACTCTAACATGCATGGCATCGTCCAAGAAAATGTTGCTGGGCTTCAAGTCACGATGAATAACTTTGGGCTTTTGTTCATGAAGATATTGCATGGCTTGGGCTATCTCTAAGGCCATCATCACTCTGTCTTTGAAAGGTGGAAGTGGCACAATTCTATCTTTGCACCTTTTGCCAGGGCCAAATAGCCACTCTTTGAGCGTGGTGCTTAGATACTCGGTAACAACCCATGCATGATGAGGAGGCTCAAGGCACGCACCCATAAGTTGAAGCACAAACCGGTGGCGTTGCTTTGAGAGAGTTTCAACCTCTTGAGCGAAGAATGTAACACCGTTTGCATTTGTGCTGAAGAATTCAGTAGACATGCACTTTACCGCCACATCAAATCCGCGCCATGTTCCCCTATGAATGTCTGCCGTGGTTCCCTGCCCTATTTTCTCTTCCAACTGAATCTGTTCAAGTTTATTTTATTTCTTATATCATTGATTATTTACCACAATTTTAATATTACAATGTTGATGTTGTATATATATGAAGGGAAGAATGTTTCTTTTCTTGATACTGTGATCCCAAAATCAGGTTGGATTTGAGTAAAAAAAATATAGAATATTTTAAGAATTTGGTTTTTCTGTCTAGTAACATAAATTATCCAAAATGACTTTTATTTATTTATGAAAAAAATATTTTTATTACAAGAGATAAAATTATCTTCCACAACCCAAAACAACGTTATTTTAAAATTTACGAAAAAAATAGAATATTTTAAAAATTTAGAATTGCAGAAGATAATCTTATTTAATTTATTGTCGCAGGAGAAATATATATATATATATATATATATATATATATATATATATATATATATATAGGGCATGTTATTCTTATATCACTGCAAGACTTGTTAGTTTTACATCATATCTCAATCGTTGATGGACGGAAATTATCGGTTGATATTTGTAATGTAATTAATAATTAATTAATTCATATGACTTCTTAAATTATAACCGTTGGATGCACATAAATCAACTGTTGAGATGTGGTCTAAGACTTATTAGTCTTACACCGGTGTAAAATAATCTTGATCACCTATATATATAGGTAAAATCATTTCTACAGTCACTTTACGTACAATAATGACGCGTGTATGGTTATGATTCCTCACATTTAATGTTTTCACGTATATATATGATAAGTATTTAATTGCTGCACATATACAGTAGTAGCTGCAGAAATGTAAACCCCATATATATATATATATATATATATATATATATATATATATATATATATGAGGTAGGATCCTTTGACACCGGTGTCAAATTTCAATTTTGACACCTCATCTGAGAGCCGTTAGATCAAAAAAGATCAATGACTCTGATTTGCAAGCATGTGACACCATTGATCTTTTTTGATCTAACGACTCTCAGATGAGGTGTTAAAATTAAAATTTGACACCGGTGTCAAAAGATTCTACCTCTGTATATATATATATATATTCCGAGTTATATATATCGAAAAATATTTTCTTATGATAAAGGAGATAATGTCTCTCCCCTACACTAATAAAAATGTGGGTCCCATGATCTTTTTTATTTTATTTTATTTTTTACAAATAGTGGGACCTACAGGTTTGTTTCTATGACATGAAATAACTTATCTCCTTTAACATGATATCAATAACACTATATATATATATATATATATATATATATATATATATATATATATGTTAGAGAGATATTTTCTTATCTCCTTTTCATGGTATCAGAGCTTCAGTGACTACGAGGTCACGAGTTCGATCCTCACTACCCCTCTTTCAGGTGGAATTAAGAAAAGCACAAGGCAAACCAAATAAATGAGCTTATGCAGGCTCTTACGTAAAGAGGTGTGGTAGAAAGATATAAAATAATTAATTTAATCTCACTCAAAGTCTTAAAATTTTGGATTGAAGTGAAGTTTTTTCAATATATATATTCTGAGTTTTAAAACGATATTATTTTGGTTAGGGAGATAACTTTGGGTAAAGTGAAATATATAACGATATATAAATCGGATCCTATATTAGGATAGTAAGGTACTAACCTCAATTGGATTTATATACCAGCCATTGATTTTAGCTTGATCAATGACGGCCGCTAGATTGGGGTGATGGTTCGCAGGAGTGAAAATTTGAGGACTGGTGGTGGCGGAGTTGACGGTGTGGATAGAGAGAGGAGAGTGTTGGAGTCCACCTTTGGAGTGGTTAATGAGGTCCAATATTCCATTTTCCTGTGCTATTTGGAGGCAGTACCTTAAGTAATCTTGCGTCCGTTCCAGTCTTTTCCTATACATGACTCGAAGTTCTGTCTGCCTTTGCACCTCCTTTTCCAAACCTGCCACCTACTTGTGACACGTATCAGACGCAAGCAAATATTTTATAACTAAATATTATGCAATATTGCCCTTTGTTACCACTTATTTAAACCCATTTCTTTTCTTTAATCTTTGGAAAATAGCATGTTACATTTTAACACAACAATAAAGGTAGGATCTTCTTACGTCAAGTTTAAGTATTATTATACTTACACCCTTTATTAGCATTAAATTTACCAACAGTAGTATTAAATTTTTTTATATAAGTATCACAAACTACCAATAATGTGATTATGCTTTACTTATTTGGGAACGGATCCACTACCAAAAAAGTTTATAACTCTTACAACCAACTTAATCACGTTTGATTTTTAATCAATCTAACGGTTATAAATTAATAACATTTATTATGTCACATTTATTAATTCCCAATAAATTAATAACCATTAAATTGATGAAAATCAACAGTGATTAAATTGTAAGAGTTATAAACTTTTTTAGTGGTAAGTGAATCTTTTTCCTAATTAATTTATGTTAATTGAATATTAATGGTTGTACACGACATACATATTAGCTTTGGATACGGACGCACGAAGAAAATTCTGGCCCATGTTTTAATCCAAATAGAGAATGGCCCACGAAGCAACCTTTACTTGGATTATGTTGGCCCTTGACTTGCATTCCCGGGCCAAAGTCCCGACAGCCCCTATCCTACTTAAAGCTGAAAGTGAGTCGAATTAGCTCACGAAATTGTTCATGGGTCAATTTATTTAGTTTAACTAATCAAGACTTTTGGCTCATTTATAAATTAACTGAACTTGATTTTTTACATGTTCATGGTACGTTATTGGCATTTTGTATTTCATGATGAAGAAGTAAATAAACACATAAGCATACAGAAGATATTCAATATTCTTTGGCCATTAAATTCTATGCAATCATTTTTTTTAACCGATTGAAAAATATTCATTAAGGAAGAAATAAACCTCAGTGCGTGGATGCAAATCTAAAAGCATACGTACCCAATAAACGGTTGTGAAATATATCATGATATGCGATTTCGAAGAGCATGAGATATACTAATTGTGCTACGCTCAATGTACTAGGGATGAAATTTCTACTAATGTATGTGTTCTATCCTAGGGACAGAGATATTTAATAAAAGACTAGTATATTGATTTTGGATCTAGATGCTTTATGAAATATTTATGAATTAGATACTTTTGAGTGTAGTATAGTAGGTATGAAAAAAAAAAATGACCAGTCATTTTTACATATAATACATGAAAGTTACCTTTCCTTCCAATTTTTCACAACGATGCTGGAGCTGATGCTGTTGCAAGGTTGATGTGGTCGATTCCACAGTCCTAACGCTGCTGAAGCCTCGACAGCATCCACTAGGTATAGGGCTAAGTGGTTCTTGCTTTGTCCCCGAATTCGACTTGGACGATGACTGCCGAGAAAGGTTATGCCGACTTTGAGGGCTGTGACTCATGCTCATGTCTGTTTAATTTAGTTTCGTCTCTCTATCTGTCCTTCAAAATGATGTTACGTTCAATTTGTGTAGGAGGAGGCAATGAGTTTTGGAGTAGAAGGGGGGAACCTAAATGGAGTCTCAACGGTGCCTTAATCATAACCTTGCTGCACCTTTTTTGTTGTTTAATGCATGCCGAATAGCACACGACAATCTTGACGGACTTTGTGATGAACATTGAACAATTATACTTATTTATTACGCGAATTACCTTGGGTTGCTTTCATATACGAATAATCTTATTTAGTGAGAGAAAATTTATTTCGAAATTAACTATGAAAAGGAAGAATGCATAACAATATATAAGTGGTAAGAAATTTTTTTAAAAGAAACTATTCACACACTATCCAAGTATCCAACGAATCATATATATTCCTACAACTTTCACAAACTTTTTTTTATTACAAATCAGCATTTTCTTCATATACCTTCTAAACCAGAGTCTATAAATTAACTTGCTAGCGTTCAGAATGTGATCCAATCAAGTAAATCTCACATCTCTCATGTGGGATTGGACTTGTAGTTGTAGCCACCTTATATGGAATTCATTGCATTACTTTAATAATATATTTTAAAAAATATTTGAATATTTATTTTTTAAAGAAAAAATGCATCACATATGTCAATCGCCCTTCTAAACCCCACAAAAATATATGTGGATTCCTTTTCCATTTGTAACTTCAGAATTTGGATAAAGGACAAAAGCCTGCAATTATATAAATATGTTAACTACTTCAATTTGAATAGAATAGATCTCTGGCTGGCCGATTCGTTTAATTGGTTTATATTTATTATGAACACAGAAAAAAGGAATTTTAAGAGTTAAAAACAATGTTGCCTATAAATTTTGACCATGGCAAAATGGCAGGGTGGAGGCGGTGGGCGTGGGAGGCAATATCTGCGGAGTTTACCTAAAAACCCTGAGCATGGGGATAATATAATAATACGTTAAAGCTACATTTAATCATTAGCCGAGTCAATGTTGTAACATGCCCATGTGGTTAGTTTTATTTTTTCGAAAACAAACATTCAGAAAGCGACAACAGTATATTTAATTTCTTTCTAGGATGTAGGAATTAATATTTCTTCGATGATAGAATATAAGTTACAATTAATCTTTCCGAAAAATTTATTCTGCATATAAAAACGTAACGCAAGTAGTGATTATATAGCATTACATAATTATGTGGTTGTTGAATCTTTATTTTGCTCTTTATTTATTGCTATTAGAAGTTTAGATCCCATTTTGTGGTATATATACGAGTTTGATTTTTTTTTTTCATATTATAAGAGATAAAATTATTTTGTGGTATATATATGAGTTTGATTTTTCTCATATTATAAGAGATAAAATTATTTTGTACAGAGACATAAAAGTATGCGAAACCCATATGAGGTCATGTGAAAAGAAAAGAGGAAAAAAAAATTATGAGCCTCACACTATTATACTATGTTGTACCAACAACATAGGACACAAGATACGACATGACACGAAACGTCGACACATTAATTCTAAAAAATGATATATTTTGACATATTAAGACAAGTTTTAATATTAAATAATATTTTTCATATATATAATATAGTTTATATTAAATACATACAGTAGCCTATAATAAGTCATATAACTAATCAAATATTCAAATTTCATAACATAAATATAAAGCAAAAATAATTTTTCATGTCTTTTTTAATTTTTCATGTCAAAATTCCATAACAAAAATTATTTGATTTATAAATTAATTTTTCATATTTAGTTAAAAAGAAAAAAAAATTGTGTTAAAAAACAGGGTCTCAAAAAACATTGACAGACTGTCGAAAAACGTTGACTGCATGTCGTAATGTATCGGTATGTGTGTAGAAGATAAACATGAAAGACATTAAATTCATATATCTTTACACAGCACAACTTAATGTCTAACGGACTAGGATGGACTATATTTCAAGAAAATATTTTCAAGAAAATCGATAATCTATTAAGGGTTTTATTTTTTTTATGTTAATTAGAGAAATTATATTCCACTCTTATTTCGATTTTCATGTTATATTTATTTATTTATTTTTTAAGTAAAGTGGATGGGTCGCACCATTTGTTTTATGTGTGGGAGACAAGAGAAATTTATAAACTACGACGGTTCTATTAATTACCATGTCATTAAACCTATTTTAAACAAATCAAAATTTATTCATTGACATTTTACTAAAAAAACTTATAAACACACACAACAAGGATGGATATATGTTTTCACACATAATTAAGAAGGATTTTATTTGTCTCATGTTGCATGAGATAATTTGTCTCATGTAACATCAGAAAAATAAAACTCAATTAAGAATCAGGTAAAAATACTATCATATTTTTTTTCATTGTGAAGTATCCCAAGATTGATTGCTTATTTATCTTACAAAGTAAGGGCTCATTTTAGGTGCATCAGAGTACATACTTCTTTGTTAAAAAGAGAAAAACATAGAATATAGATAAAAATAATTATAAAAGTGAGAGTAGTATAATAATACTACTTTTTATCATATTTAATAAAAGGAGAATCGAGTATCATGCAGCAAGAGAAATTTCGAGTCATGCGGTGAGCCAAAAAATGCGGGGCCCACTTAATTCTAAAAAAAAATGGCCCATTTTTTCAATATATTTGCTGGAAGTTCAAAATTCCTACAACAACATAATACTCGATTCTCCCTTTAATAAATGATGTATGGAGTATAGGATCACCGAAAATATTTTCACAAAATAGATGCAAAAATGCAGGTGCATGGTGGAACAATAAACAGTTTCTCGCAAAGTGGTTTCAAAACAAGTACTTACTTGAAGTCTAATCTAAGTGCATAAGTCGAGCTCGTGAAATCCAACGAATACATTAATTAGTCAGTTAGTTAGCCCATAATATCATACCATGTGTATAAAGCAGTGAACTGTTGCAACTTGGACATGTCCACATAATTCAAAGTGTTCGAAACCCAAAACTCGGAAGGTAGAATATTGTCGTGTGAACGTTATTCAAGAGCTTTGGATTTTGAAAGAGAAAAAAGAGGCAGAGAAAGAGATTCTTCGGTGGACCTAGAAACAATATCATAATTATCATCATCTTCCTATCACTTTCTTTGTACTTTGTATGATAAAGAGAAAGCGGCTTACGTTTAACAGTGTAGTGGAAACTCACCTCGGGATCACCAATTACTATACCTTTGTCTTTTGCTAACAAAGAAAAAGAGAGAGAGGACATATTGTGGTGTGGACCGTCAAAACTTAGCCCATACCATAGAATAAGCGACCCCAGTGCTTATCGTCCCTGCCCAACTTTACATTGCTCTTTTGTTACGTAGACTCGGAGAGGCTTGACGACTTGGTTACTTAATGCGAGCTACCTCTTTAGAAAAGCCCCTTAAGAGTTACCCTTTGTGGCTGTTTCGCTGATTTTTAGTTATCTTTTTTTATTTTCCCATTTCCTAGCTTGGATTATATACAAAAATAAAGTCACTCGGTATGATTTGACCTTTTCCTAGTTTAACTGAAGCCTATAAATGAGTGTCATAAGCTAAATAAAATGGATATAGGTGAATTGACAGACCCAGGGTATTTGGAGAGAGAGGGAGAGTATACTAATGCTATATTTCGTACTTTAGGAGAAGATTGTTATTCATTGGTAATAGTCCTTTGCTATGAGCTCGGCTGATAGTGCTCCTTTTTTTTCAAGTATTCAGACTCAAAGTATTCAACCTGCCTCTAGTCAAACACCAGATTAGCTCGAGTCCAACTTGGCTCTAATATCACTGTCAGATGGGTCCAGCTCATAGCTGAAGATTACTATCAATGAGTTAAGCTAGTCCAACACTAACAAATGGATTCGACATCATATCTCAATTCAAAACTTTAAGACATTAGATTTATAAGTCCATCCACTTATATTTACTCTACTTTAGTCCATTAGTAATTAATGTGAGACTTATCACACTAAAATAATCTGAGCTGCGTATACAAAATGTAAATATATATAAGGAGTCATGAGTAAGAGTGAAGGGAATGCTTATGATTATAACTAAGGTTTTAGGAAACAATTGAGCCAACCTCTATACCAACTACGACAATAAAATTCAAAAAGGAAAATGACGCTGTGGCAGTTGGATTGTCTAGCTAAGTAGTAGTTTGTATATAATTAGTTATTAATTATAATCTTTAAAATATATGCAATCTCTTGATCGTGTATATTTTTATTTTGGAAAAAAGAAAGTCTTTTGGATGAGACAGCAAAAAAATTATTCCTCTCATCATTGCTGCGCTACTTCTTCCAACTCACCCACTGTACGGAATCTAACCAACGAAAATGATAGGAGCTATCCCTACCCAAAATTTTAATCCAGTGACGCAGTTTTAAAGTTTATTCTACTTAATCTAATACACACACAAACATTTATTTTCAACTTGAAACCGTAAAGTAGTGCATTAAAAATTACATAAGCACTTCCCTACCTGCATTTCTTGAATAATTAAGTTATAGAGATCCACCGTCCGCTAGTTAAACAAATAACAGTTATATATTAGTTTCTGATATGATCATGTTAATACTTTGACTAAGGAGAGATTCTTTTTAAGTGGGTCTTCCTCCATTTCGCAACCTTATGCATGCTCATCACGTAGTAATCTTAATCATATACTTTATTTGAGTAGGCTATTATTAGGTCTACTAACAATGAACCCTATATGGCATATCTTTTCAATGTTTATGAAGCATTTGAAATATGATTTTTATTATAATGATCGAACGCCTCTAACTTGAGAATTGCCATGCACATGCGTATTGGTGGGACTCTTGTTTCACCATAGATAAGCGCTTCGTTTCATTTGACGTTCGTGACACAACATTGAATATTTTATTTTTAGTTAGGATAAATGTTAGAGATATTAAATATTTGGCATGATTGATTTATAACATAATAATATTAGGATTTTTATGACTATTTGATTTGGAGTTTAATGGCTAACATACTTGTTGAGATATATAGTCCCATATTGGTTGTATGAGCAACTAATGTGGAGTTTATAAGGCCTTGGACACTCCCACCCTTAGAGCTAGCTTTTGGGGTGGTGTATCCCAAGGTTCTTTACATGGTATCAAAGCCTCGTCGTCCCCCACTTTCTCTTGTGGAGTTTCTTAGCACAGGTAGGCTGAGCCTGTTGCATTGTCCACTCTTAAAGCTCAATGGGCTCTTGTGTGAGGGGGCGTGTCCCACATTGTTGTATGAGCCAACTAATGTGGAGTTTATAAGACCTTGGACACTCCCACCCTTAGAGCTGCTAGCTTTTGGGGTGGTGTGGCGTGTCCCACATTGGTTGTATGAGCAACTAATGTGAAGTTTATAAGGTCTTGGGCACTCCCACCCTTAGAGCTAGCTTTTGGGGTGGTGTATCCCAAGGTTCTTTACATGGTATCAGAGCTAGAGCTTGAGTGACTACAAGGTCACAAGTTCGATCCTCACTGCCCCCACTTTAAAGTGGAATTAAAATAAAAAAAGCACAAAAGTTCGATCCTCACTGCCCTCACTTTAAAGTGGAATCAAAATAAAAAAAGCACAAAAGGTAAACCAAAAATTGAGCCTGTGCAATATCCACGCTTCTAGCTCAAGTGACTCTTACGTGAGGGGGCGTGTTAGAGAATAATATAAATCATTTTGGGTTGAAGTGATTCTTTACAATACTAATTCAAATTTTTAAAACAGTTAATTCAAACAATATATATATATATATATATATATATATATATATATGTGTTAAAAACATAAATATGTGACACTGTTGATCTGACTTGATGTAATAATTCTTAGATGAAGTGTTAAACTTTTAATTTGATACCAATGTCCAATGATCTTATCCCATTAGCAAAATGTATATAATATGTGGTTAATTATAAAATTTTACTTTAGATCAGTTTTTTTTTTCATATTTTTAACCAAAAAAAAAAGGGCCCTCGGGATTAATACCCCCAAGAATTACATGCACCGAGCACAACTGTGCTCTTCCCAATTCCTAAATCAACCTGGGTAAAATTAATTTTAAAAAATAAGATCAACCAAGGTAAAGATTTTAGGAAAGGAAAAAGAGTTAAAATTCATTGGCTCCTTGCCAAATGCCGAAATTCTATAATTGGATGTTTAGTTTAGAACCTTCAATTTGGTCCCCAGGGAGAGATCGACGAGGCTTGTTTCTCTCCATAATACATTATCAATTTTATCACAAATGTTTCTTGCACAGTTTCACACTATATTTTTTATATTTCTATTTGATAAAAAATAATTGTTGAAATTCGTATACTTTTAATTCGTTATAAGAATAATTTAATGAAAATGCTATGCGGATAAAATTGTTACTTGTTTGTTAGTACAATGATGAACACGGATGGCTAGCGACCAGTCCTGTCCTGTGCGGCTGTGATTAATCAGCACCCACAATAATAATTGCTTACTTTACGGCACACCAGTGCCTTGTATTTTGCTTCCAAGTTTCAACACCATCATTTAAGCAGAGTTTGCATTGTACCATGTACCAACAAATTCCCAAAACAAAGGACGAAACTAACTGCAGTCTTACCCGCATCACTCAACATGATCATCAATTGCCCACAACTTTTTTCACAACCATACAATAACAACTCGGAACAATCAACCCAAGATCCCCATTAAAGCAGAACATTTTAAATTTGAAAAGAAAACAAAGCCTTCAATTAATAATACTCTTGAATGTTGGGGATGCCAGTAGTAGTGAATGGTAGCGCAACCTGCAAGTAACGGGGGCCAATTACAAAATACAAAATACACAATACGAATCCCAGAGAGGAAGAAAAAAAAGAAAGAAAGAAAGAAAGAGAAAGCAGAAGCTTTAGTATTTACTTTCTCTATTCCCATGGGCGAAGATCTGCCTTTCCCTTTACCATCACACCCTCTCTCATTTTGCTTGTGATTACGATCTCGAATCTTTCATTTTCCCTCCCTTTTTTTTTCCCCCTCCTTTGATCGCTTCTTTCTTTTCCTCCTCCTCCATATCTAACTACTCTTTCAGTATCTATGTGAATGTTTGATCAAGATCGGGAATTAACAAATCCCCACCTCTCTTTTTAGAAAATCAAGTACCCTACTCATCACCTTTATAAATCACCCAGCTACTGTGCTTTTTATCATATTCTCCTTCACTCAAGCACATCCTATGACAGCTACATATAGGTATACACACGCATACCTAGACACAAACTTGTACAAAGCCAAAAGTGCTCGATCGATCGTTGATGGCTTCAGTTCACACCGCCAGATAATTAAGCAAAGTGATGGCAAAACTCTGTAGAAAGCGACTAATTTTGTATATATTTGGTTTTATAATTCGCAATATCAACAATCATCTCATATAAACGAGGTATATTTGCTATATGAACCAAAGCATTATTAATTAGAATTCATCCGCCTAAGAAGAAAAACACTAAAAAAAAAAAAAAACGAAATGATTATATAGTTTACATCATATAGGCTTCAACTGAACAGAACTACATCATGAGGCCATTAGCAATGGCGCGATTAGTACTAAAATGAGTAGTCTCATACACCGGAAGCTCCTCAAAATACCTATTATTCCCCATCACAGTGAGGTGATCAAGCTCGAAAAGATCCTCACTTGAATAGCTTGCTGTGTCGTCCTCATCCTCCTCGTTTGTACTCATAGGAATATCCTTCAAAATCAAATCGCTCTTCTTCTGGTTTCGATGGTACTCTTTTAAGAACTCTCTAGCAGCCGCCTCCACTCGCGTGACCTCTTCCTCGTTCTTCTTAGGAGTTGACCTTCCAATTTTCCTCGCGGTTGGCATAGACACGTTCATTGAGCTTGTGTCTTCTCCTTCATACAAGCATTTATGCCCACACGGTCGACAATCTTCATCAACGATCACGCTTACTGGGTAAAAACTCACTGTCCTTTTAGCCCCATTGCGCAACTTGTCTCTTGAGGAAGGTGAAGTCTTGCTCAGACAAGACCGTGAGAACGAGGATGCTGAAGAACAAGTCGAGGCTTGTCCTGACTTGGCTTTTCTCTCAGCGTTCACGTCTTCGAGCGTGGCCTTGGTTTTCTTTGTGTTCCCCGTTGTAAAGAGGGAGTTAAGAAAATTGGTGAGTTTGCCACCTGGAGAAATGGGTTGCTTCACCTTCTTGAGATTGTTGTAAATCTTCAGTGCCCTTGATTTTGATTTGATTAAACCCTCCTCGTGTGTCTTCTCTGTTCTCTCTGACACGCTTGTCTTAACTGGTTTAGGCCTCGATGGAGCGAAACACGAAACTCGTGATCTCACTCCGTACATGGATTCTGTGTCAGAGGATGATGATAATAATCCAGAATTACTCGATTCCGAAGAACTAGAATTTGAACTGAAGAACAGAACATCTTGGTCATGATCATGATCGTGATGCGATTTTCTGTCCATTTTTGTCGTTCCAACCTTTTCGCTTACCTTCCTATCCATCCATTTCTCAAGCAAACGAGCACGGCGAAGATTTGCAGTTGCCAACTCTTCTTCTTCCTCCACGGCTCTGTCGAACTTCGCGTTGATTCTACTCTGTTTCATATCTCCACTCTTTCTCTCTCCTTCGTCGATGGAACGGTAAATCTTGTCGAGTAGGGTGGAAGAGAAAGACGGGTTTTTAGCATCGTTTAAAAACCTGTGTTCTCTGCGTGTTTTCTCGAACCTGTTGTACATGTTGGGTGAGTAATAAATTGGAATAGCACGGGTGAAAATGGAAATGATGAAATGGAACGGTGACAAACAGGGAATAAAGTATGGTGGGGTAGTGCTTTTAGGGGTGAAACTCAGAGGGAGTTCGAAAAGCTGCCACCATGGAAGGTGCTTAAAATGATCATGAGAGTGAAACTGGTTATGATTGAAGGAAGAAGAAGGAGAGAAGAAAACGTGAAGAGGGTAATTGATTGATTCCTTGTGTAAGAGAAAGAGAAAAAGAGAGAGTAATGAGAGCAGAGTGGCACGCTTTCAAGTTTAGAATGAAGGGGAAGGGAACAGGGTTAAGTATGCTTTATAAAGGTGTCATCACGCGCGTGCATCTCCATCTATCTTCTTCTCATTCCCATGCCAGTTTGGCATCTGCTTTTTTTTTCCCTTTTTTGTTCTGATGATCCTCCAAATTCGAATTTGTAGCCGGTGATCAAGTTTAAGAGGTTACGGGAATTCGACTGTGTGGTCAAGTTTTCAATAGTATCCGTACGCCCGTCAAAGCTCCCGCTGGGAGGGCCCACGTGTTAAAAATGGAAAAAATACGTGCATCGGATTAAAAATGTGTGAGCCAGCCATTGAGAAAAAAATAAATAAAATATTACTATTTTAATAAATAATTATGAATACATATCTATTTTGAAATTATCTTCAGATCTATTTCACTCATTCACGTCCAAATTAAGTGTGACTATGGATGTCCAAATTATGCGTGACTCCAAAGGTATTCACGCATAATTTAGGCGTGAATCATCTGTTGTTGACACGTGGTAAAAAAAGTCAACTTACTAACTGTAATACTTTGGAAAACCATAACTTTTGACTTGTATCCGAATGAGTTAATTTTTTTTTTGATTCCACATAACTTTTTGAGATCTATGCAATGACATCTCATTTGATATATTTTATCTCTCACAAACACAATTCAAATTTGCAATAATTGTATTATATAGTGTATTAACAAAAAAATTTAAAAAATTATTATTAATAACAAAAACAAAATAAAGATTTTATCTGTGATTTAAACTCAAAAATCAATATGAAAAATCTGTATTAATAAAGAAAATAATTAAATAAATATTCTAAACACTTGGTAGAATATTATATAAATTTGTATATATTCTAATAATTAAATAATACACTTTTTTTTTCAAACACTTGGTACTATAACATTAAATTCAAAATTGAAGATTCAAACAACCTTCCAATAAATTGATTGCATTTTGTATTTAATAGGAGTTGATTGCGTTTTGTATTTAATAGGAGCTGATTGCGTTGTAATTTTATGAGTTGGTTACAGATTGTCGCCAATTCAAATAAATTTGCTGGAGGTTATTTGAATTTTGAATTTAATCATATAGGAGTTGATTGCGTTTTGTATTTAATAGGAGCTAATTGTGTTTTGTATTAATAATAAATTTGATGTCATCTTATTTATAGATGAGTTAATCCACTTTAGTGCTATCTTTATAATATCATTGTTGCAAATTTGAATTGTGTTTGTGAAAGATAAAATATATCAAATGAAATGTCATTGCGTAGATCTCAAAAAGTTATGTGGAATCAAAAAAAGAATTACCTCAATCGGATACCCGAGTCAAAAGTTATGGCCTTATAAAGTTTTACGGTTAAACTATTAATTTTTTGTGCCACGTGTCAACCCCAGACGAGTCACGCCTAATTTAGGCGTGAATGCCTTGGGAGTCGAGCTTAACTTAGGCGTGAATAGTCACGTCTAATTTGGACGTGAATGAATACAATAAATCCATAAATAATTTTGAAACAGTTATCTGTTCGTAATTATTTATTAAAATAATAATACTTAATTTTTTTTCCTACTAGAATTTTGATGATGATTACCTACCAATTTAGCCCGTGCATGAGTTTTTGCGTTTTTTTATTTTCTTTCTTTATTTGGATGGTGGAGCGAATTGAATGGCAACAAATATGGTTCGGTTATTAAATTCCACGGGTTGAGCGCTCTGGAATATTATTTCATTCAATGTGTCAGGTTGACTGTAATTCTAATTTCTTTGTTTGGTATTCAAGGTTTTTAAATACATGCCAATTAATGAAAAATAGATGCTTATATGTGGTGGGTAAATTAAAAAGGAAAACGGGTACGATTAATAGGTTTCAAATTACAATTGAGCTGGCAAGCCATAATTGATTTTGATTAGGCCACAACATAAATGTCATATGGCGAAAATTTTCGCAATTTTCGATTGATTAACGCCAATAATTAAAATTGAAATTATTAATTTGTTAAAAAAAAACTGAAATTTAGTGTTAAATTCTCACAATTACTTTTCGTTTTCGTTTCTTTTCCTCCTTCCTTATACTCAATTAAGAGGAAGTTAAAAGGCTTTATTAGAAAATTCTTCGATTACGCCCACTGATTAAGACTTGGGTTTTACCAGAATATATATATATATATATGATTTTTAATAAAATATTATAAATTTAAATAATTGTTCCTATCTTCCTGTAGGTAAGATTCAATACCGCCATTAAATTATGTCGTTTGATATAATATTTATATCATGGACTAATTCCTATATAGAGAGGATGAATATGCCTCAAGATTGGTTACTTATGGTTGGTATATTATGCAGATTATAATGATTGGTAGAAAATTCGACACTGAAGATTAATTATTCCAAAATGTCTAGAGCGTAGGAGCTATAAATATCTAGATTAATCACTAGGCCCGTTGGATAAAATTAAGCAAACAGGGCACATGTATTTGCTGAAGGACAAATTACTCAAATGGGTAACTTTTGCGAGATTATCCAAGCAAAACAGGAATAATATCGGACGCTCTGCTTATTACTGGCAAAAAAAAAATTAATTTATTGTTTTTTAATAAATTAATTACGTATTTATTATAGTTTTGAAAATAATTATATATTTATTGTACAATGTGATGCTCCTTCAAGTCGTCACACCCAAAGGGGAGACGCCTCATTTAGGCGTCACTTATCAGGTGTTGACCCGTGTCATATTTTTTTTTTCAAAAAAAAAAACAGTTTAATCATAAAACTTCTGAAGCCATAACTTTTAACTTGGGTATCCAAATCAGGTAATTCTTATTTTGATTCCACATAACTTTTTGAGATCTACGCAATAACATCTCATTTGATTTACTTTATTTTTCACAAACATAATTTAAATTTAAATCGGGTAATCCTTCTTTCTTAGAAATTTAGAATATTTATTTAATTATTTCCTTTATTAATACAGATTTTTTAAATTGATTTTTAAGTTTAAATCACAAATCAAATCTTTATTTTGTTTTCCTTATTAATAATAATTGTTACTTTTAATTTAAATCACAAACCAAATTTTTTTTATAATAAAAATAAAAAAATTTATTTTTTTAATTTAAATCACATATCAAATCTTAATTTATTTTTTATATTAAATCACAAACGCAGAACTCAGAAGCTTCTGAGTTTAAAAATGTGACACATGTCAACACCTGACACATCACCAATCACGTCTAAATTGGGTTTCAATCAGGAGGCAATCACGCCTAATTTAGGTAATTTTATTTTTGAAAAATATTCATAAGGCATCATTAATTTCAGACCACGAATAATAAGCCAGAAGCTTATAGCATTAACCATTAATTTCAAAAATAATATCTTTCTTTCTTAGAGATTTAGAATATTTATTTTATTTTTTCCTTTATTTCTACAGATTTTTCAAATTGATTTTTTAGTTTAAATCAAAAATCAAATCTTTATTTTGTTTTCCATATTAATAATAATTTATATTTTTATTTTTAATTTAAATCACATACCAAATTTTTGTTATAATAAAAAAAAATTATTATAAAAAATTTAAATCACAAATTTAAATTTTATTTATTTTTTATATTAAATCACAAACCCAGAACTCAGAGGCTTCTGGGTTTAACCGTTCTTATAATACCATTCTTGCAAATTAAAATTATGTTTGTGAGAAATAATATATGTCAAATGAGATGTCATTGCGTAGATCTCGAAAAGTTATGTAGAATCAAAAAAAGAATTACCTGATTTGGATACTCGAGTCAAAAGTTATGGCCTTCAAAAGTTTTATGATTAAATTATTATTTTTTTTGGAAAAAAAATATGACACGTGTCAACACCTGATGAGTGACGCCCAAGAGGGCGTCACATTGTGTAATAGATCCGTAATTATTCTCAAAACTGTAATAAATGCGTAATTATTTTATTAAAAAGCATTATTTATTTTTATTTTTTGTTGGGACTTGTTATTATTGTAAATAGATGTTCCTAAGCAGAATTGTTATGCTTCTATCATTAAAGACTATAACAAAACTATCAATTGAAGTTTTATAAAAAAATTGTTATGCTTCTACCATTATTGGTTAATGCCTTTGCTTAAGGATTATGAGACTGGCTTTGCTTTTGCTAATATTATAACGATTTTCTTTTGATGATATATATATAATCAATACTATATACCTACAAGTTCTGTAGCTATTTATCATCATTATTTTTTTGGGTGAATTCATTAATTTTTCCAATGTCACATTAACACATATACTCTAAAATTGTATGTAACTTAATAATTATAAATTTCTTTCTATTGTTTGAATTATTTTAATAACAATATTCATTTCCCTTTTTGGAATTTGAAAGTCATAAAAGCTCGTGTTCCAAAACAAAATGGAAATGCCAGTAAAAAGGTAAAAAGAAACACAAGCGGACCAGACAAAGATAGGCTTTAATCATGGAAAACGAGTGGTATCTTAATAAGCTAGAGCTTGTAAATTTGATCTTTTAATCATCATCAATACTAATCAAGGAGCCTGCATTGACTTGTTGCACTTCTTAGCAATGGAGCGTTGAGTCTAATTATAGTTTACCTCTGGTAAACTTTTCAATAGGTCAACTATTGTATTACAATATGAGCAATATTTAATTACCACGCAGAATTTTGAAATTTCTGAAAAAAAAATT